TGGGACTCTCAATCTCCATCCCCAGCCATGCCTCTCCTCCCTTGTAGACTGGACTTGAGTACCACCAGCCTAGGGTGCTCCCTCAGTGGTCCAATTCCCCAATGTCTAGAACCTGTTTTTTTCCAGTCCATTATCACCTTCTTGAAATAGGAGCCTAGCTCTGCCATGGAAATCTGGGGCTGGGCTCTTGCTCCCTGGTCAGACACTTCCTAGGTACTGTTCAAGACCTTAAGGATACCAGGTGTGCCTGCACTATTTTTCAGTAATTTATCAGTAATGGTGAGAATGGCACATAAGTTTTGTTCATTCAGCTAGTATCTAGTGGAGGATCTGAAATTCAAACCCAGTCCCACCTGTAGGGCACAGGACCTAATCACTGCCCTGTGCTGCCTCTATCTCTACTGTCTATTTGTTCTGAATGCTGGTTGTCCCCTGTTCGCTCCTCCATCCATATTAGCTCCCAGCTTAGCCCTATAGAGAATTCTTCCTCCAGCTTGCTTCCCCAGTGTCCCAGGCATCTTGTTCTTGCTATAAGCCCAGATACTTAACTAGCTAAGAATCTTGCACAACTTGTTGGGACCGGTATTTTTCCCTTGGTCTAATAGGAAAAACACGTTGTGCATGTGTTACAGTTTGGGCCAAGTGAGACAGGAACACACAGACTTTATGACCAGCAGCTCTGGTTTTACCCTTAAACCACATGTATAGCATGACACATGGTGGTTTGTTATTGGTTATTAAATGTGATCATTCACAAGTGACAAAGCGGTTGCTCACGGCTATTCTGATCAATGGGTAGCTTGGCTTAGTTATGAAAATACAGCTGATATATTAACTTTTCTGTTTATATCCAGCTTGAATATGAAGTTGTAGAGAGATATATTTGAAGTGATGAGCCCAGGATAGAGAAGTGGGGAGACACACACACACACACACACACACACACACGCACACACACCTAGATAATAAATATGAAGGTTCTTGGGACATTAGAAAGTGAAACACAAAATGCAAGGGACGGTTCTCATTACTGTGACTAAAAGCTCTCTCCCTTCCTTCTGCCTTCCCTATTACTGTTCTGCCACCCTGGTCACCTGGGGAAGACCCTGAATCTTCTCTAGCAATCCAATTTCCTTTGCTTCCTCCCCCGCTCCAAGTAGATATCAATCGTGTCAGTTAAACCTCCCCCATGTTGCTCTCCCCCTTCTAATCATCCTGGTGGCTCTGCTCTCATTCAGATCCATACAACTCCTTTTCTGGGAGAAAATGGGCTCCAGTCTGTCCTTCCTGTAAACTCTCTTTTTTTGTTTGTTTGTTTGTTTTTAATTTAATTTTATTATGTTATGTTAGTCACCATGCAATACATCATTAGTTTTGCCATTTTCCTCTAAAACCCTCAGTTTGTTTCTCAGAGTCCATAGTCTCTCATGGTTCCTCTCTCTAAAACCCTCAGTTTGTTTCTCAGAGTCCATAGTCTCTCATGGTTCCTCTCTCTAAAACCCTCAGTTTGTTTCTCAGAGTCCATAGTCTCTCATGGTTCCTCTCTCCCTCCGATTTCCCCCCCTTCATTTTTTCCCTTCCTTCTCCTAATGTCCTCCATGCTATTCCTTATGTTCCACAAATAAGTGAAACCATATGATAATTGACTTTCTCTGCTTGACTTGTTTCACTTAGCATAATCTCCTCCAGTCCCATCCATGTTGATGTAAAAGTTGGGTATTCATCCTTTTTGCTGGCTGAGTAATATTCCATTGTATATATGGATCACATCTTCTTTATCCATTCATCTGTTGAAGGGCATCTCGACTCTTTCCACAGTTTGGTTATTGTGGACATTGCTGCTATGAACATTGGGGTGCATATGGCCCTTCTTTTCACTACATCTGTGTCTTTGGGATAAATACCCAGTAATGCAATTGCAGGGTCAGGGGGTAGCTCTATTTTTTATTTTTTGAGGAACCTCCACACTGTTTTCCAAAATGGTTGTACCAGCTCTTGGCTGACCAATCAGAGGGGTCTCCTTGAAGAACAGTTCTGACATGCAATGTCTCTGTTTGAAAAGCTTCTGTAACGTCCCCTTTGCCTACAAGATAAAGTACAGGTTCTTGGCTCAGCATTCAAGGACCAGAAATAGCCTGTCAAGCCTGCTTTATCTACCACAATGCCTCTTCATGCAAATGCTCCCAGCAAACTCTTCCTTGTTTTCTATCAAGCACCACACATTTCTGATTTCAATACCTTTGCTGACTCTATGTTTGGAATGCCCATATCTGCACCTCTGCCAGTAAGGCCCATCTATTGCTACAAGTCTCAAGTCCCTGTAAAACACAGACTCCTCCTGCCTGCAGTTTCCAGAACTGCCCAGCCAGAGGGAGACCTGGTCTTCCTGGGAATTCCAAGGCACTCGTGACTTTCTACCTTGTGCTAGTAATTTCTGAGAGAAGTCCCTTCTCCTCTCTTGAGCCACATATGTGAGAACCAAGACTATGTCCAAGGCCTTGCTTTATATCCCTCCATTGCCAAGTCCATGGCCTGGCTTAGATAAGCACACAGGAAGTACTAGGAGAACTGCAACACAGTAATCAAGCCCTGTCTTTTAGAAGGCTCATGAATTTCCACAGGTCCTTGTAGCTATCCTATTGGACGAGATGGGTCAGGAAAATGGCAAAATGTGATTAATCTCCACCCTTAAGAGAAAGGTGCCCCAGGTGGGTCCTCTGACTAGAATGCTGTAACTGCTTGCCTCTTTTGGCTGCCTGGGACTCGGTCATTTATTCAACAAATATAACTAATGCTGGTCATTAAACACTGCACTCAACCCAGGAGAGTACAGGGAAATCAGTCAAACCTCCATCTCTTGGAACTCCAATGTCAGTGGACGAAGAGACATCTATATAAGACACTTCAAACCCAAGGCCGCTCTGCGCAGCACTCTGGTGCTAGACAGGAAGGCAGGCAGATGGTGGGCAGCTTTCTCCCTGTAGTAAGCTTGGGAATGCTCTGCATTTGCCTGGTCCCTGCTTTGCAGCATATCTCCCGAGGGCAAGAGTGGCTACATAATTTGCAGGGCCAAGGGAAAAATAAAAATGCAGGGGCACTTTGTTAAAAAATTATTTTTTAAATATTTTATTTATTTATTTATTTGACAGAGAGAGAGAGAGAGAGCACAAGCAGGGGGAGCAGCAGACAGAGGAAGAGGGAGAAGCAGGCTTCCCGCTGAGCCGGGAGCCTGATGCAGGGCTCGATCCCAGCACCGGTCCTGGGATCATAACCTGAGCCAAAGGCAGACGCTTAACGACTGAGCCACCCAGGCACCCCCTGTGTTCAAAAATTATTAAGAATTTCAAGAGGAGGACAGCAAAGCGTTAAACAAAGTGCAGCCCTTCTGCACTTTGGTCACAAGCCCATGAAGTTTGCCCTGCCACAGGGCTAGGAAGCATGCACACAAGAGGCCTGAAAGTGTCCTGCAGTCTTTTCTTCTCCCTTGCACGGAGGCTGAAGGGAGGCTAGGTCCCAGTAAACTGGGTGGCACTGGAACATACACAGCTGCACACAGGCCAAAAACAAACATTTGTTGAGTGCCTACTTTGTGCCCCAAACTCATCTAGATTTCAGAGATATGGTGGAAAACCAAACAGGCATGTTTTTTGGTTTGGTTTGGTTTCTGTCACTGAGCTTATTCCAGTGGGGGAAACCCACTATAAACAAGCTCACAGAGAAATGTCCAAGAATGTCATCAGTTAGTGGACAGTGTTGTGGAGATGACAAAGCAGAGTGATGGGATAGGGATAGGGTGGTAGAGAGGGTGTATTAGGTTAGCTTGGTACAGCAAAGGCTCTCCAAGGAGCCTCCTGCTAGCTAAGATGCACACAGCCCCTTCTAGAGCAACAGGTGAGGATGCTGCTAATGTTTGGCATCAGCTTGACAGGCAAATCTCTGCCATCCTTTCCCCTATCAAGTGAATCATGAGGGTCTGGGTGACAAAGAGGAAGTCCAAGGATGCTTGAGACTCTTCACTATCCCCACTGAATGGGGGCACTGACCCCCACCCTCATGCCCACCCCCAGTGCTTTCTCACTTCTATTTCTGGCATGACTGAGAGTCAAGTCTCCAGAAAGATTTGGCCAGCCAGTCTTGGAGAGTTTTCTGAGGTCCCAGATGGTCCCTCTCAGACCCAGGCCCCAGGGCTAAACCTGGATCCACACTGAGTCACTCATTGCCTCTCTGCGGTTACGGGAAAGTGCTCCAGTGAATGCTTAGGCCTGGTCCTCTGTTGGTGGGTCCTTCCTTGCCCCCAAATACCTGAGAAACTGGCCTGTGTAGTAGCTCAGATCAGAGCTTGCTGGGAGAGACACACCTCCCCCCACCAAGTCTCTCTTCTTCCCCTGTGCCAAGGAAGGTACTCAACCAGCTTCCTTCCAATGCCCAGAGATGTACTCTGAAGGACTGGAAGGTCTGGAGTGAGGGTAGGGAAAATCTCAGAGGCCAGAAGACCTGGGGACGCAACAGGTGATAGGGGAGGGAGCCGAGGGCTGGAAGCCACAGTTTGATCCCGCGGTATGCTAGCGGACTGAAGGGATCCTATAAGGAGGCAGGAGCCCACCCAGTCCCCAATCTTGCCTAGCCGGGCCCAGTCTGTGGCCGCCCTCCCAGCCGCAGCCGCGGGCCTCCGGTTTCCCCTGCCTGGGGCCCGCGCCGCCAGCTCGCCTCTTCCTCCCTTTCCCGTCCCCCGCCCGTGGCTGTCTGGCAGCGCTGCAGTCGTGGCGGCGGGGGGCGGGGGGCCTTGGTGACAGGGCTTCCTCCTCTTCTCCCTCCGCCTTCCTTCCGCCAGCCCAAGCCTATCCACCCTACTCTCCGCAGCAGCAGCGAACACGTCGTCGATTTCCATCGGGGCTCAGGGGGCGGGGCCAAGGTGGGGGGCGCGGGGCGGGGCGAGTGGGAGGAGTGGAAGTTGGAGCCCAACAAAACGCGGCACACCGCACTCGGTGCGGCCAGACCGTGCGCAGCGACTTCCGCACAGGTGGTCACCCCGGTCCCCACCACGATGTTAACCAAAGTTCTCCTGATCCTCCTGGGCATGTCCATAATCCTTCCGTCTAGGTGAGTCTCCATCCCGGGACCCAGGAGCTCTCTGCGCCCAGCTCCCTCTCCCCTGGAGCTAGGCCAGCTCCCCGGATCCCCGCGCCCCTGCGTTCCTCAAGCGCCGCGCCCACCTTTTCCCAGCCCCTGCGCGAGCTAGCTGGATCCCGGGTCCCCGGGACGCGCTGCCAGCCTCCAACCCGCTCCCTCTAGGATGGGCACCCCAGACCCCTGAAGGAGCGCCCAGGAAGCAAGCCGGGACGCCTGTTCCCTGGCCGCTCCGGTCCTCAGACTCCCGCTCTCCAAAACCACGGCGACGGCCGGGGGGCACGAGCACGCTTCTCTCTCTCTGGGTCTTCAGTGGGAAGAAGCGAGTGGCCCGTGGGATGACCGACCAGCGTAGGCTTGTGCTTCTGAGGACTGGGGGAGACTTTGGGAAGGTGGCGTCCAGAAAGACTCTCGGGCTTGGGGAACGAAACTACGCCTAAATGCTGGAGTGTTGGCTTGTGTGTCCTCTCATTTAAATTTCTTTTTCTGAGCGCCTACTAACTACCAGGCACTGTGCCAGATAACTCTGACTTTACTTGCTTCCCTTCCCGCCGCGTCTCTTGGTGCCAGTCCCAGGCGCTAGCCCCAATTTAGTCCAAGGATTCCCGCCCCAGTTATCCACCCCACTCCTCTCTGCCGCCAGCCTCCCCTTTCCTCCTTCATCCCCCCTCCCACCAGACACCCTGCTGGGTGTTGGGCTGACCAGAGCCTGAGGTCAGAGACTGTTATTCTCTGAGGTGTGAGGTTTGGGTCCTGGATTTCAATCCCCATCCCCTTTTCCAAAGGCTAACAACAGGTTTCCCTTGAGCAGCCAGCTTCCTTCACACTTTCTTCTGGCCCTGAGACTTTGCTAGGAAGGTTGTTCCCTGCACGTCTGACTTTATAGAGTAGGAGATGACTGCTTCATATTTTTGAGATGGTTTCCATTCCAGAAGTCTCCATGGCACTGGGCTCCTGTCTTGCTTATCTGTTTTGGGGAGAGGGGAGATGGCTTCTCTCCTCACCCCAGAATGCTTTAGCTCCCCTGAAGAGCTCCCTGCTGGCTCACCGGTGTCCTGGGATGTGGGGGTTGGCCTCAGCAGGGGCTTGGCAAATATTTCTGAATGCGTGCTAGGAATTTCCAGCCATCCACATCCCTCCAGATATGAATTGAACTGTTTGGGAGAGCTGGCATGGGGTCTGGGAGTGGGGGCAGAAGGAAGCAGTAGGAGCAGGAAAAAAAAAAAAAAAAGAGCTGGGAAGAGGGGCTGTTGACATGGAAACTACCCTTCCAGTCCCCTGGAGTGGGTGGGGAGGGAAGGGCCAAGTAACCGGTGTTTAGACATTGTCAGCATGGCAACCCATGATGTCAGCAAAGAGCTGGAGGTGGCCTTGGGGTGTGTTGGCAAGGGCCACCTCAAACCAGGAAATCTTGCTCTGGTCCAGGCTCAGCCTCAAATGGTGGTGACTTTGGGCACAGCCCTTCCCCCAGGTGGGATTCAGTTTCTTCATCTGTAAGGTGAAAAAGAGGGCTGATTTGGGGGGAAAAAACAACCCCGTGGGCCCCCTCCTAGAGCATTGCCAGTGCCCTCTTCCTCTCCTTCCCTCCCCCACGGTTAGTTGAAAGAGCATCCTCAGTAGTGGGAGGGGATGTGGAGTTTCAGCTCCATCTTGGACCATTGCGTGTAGAGGGATGTGAGTGCATGAAAAGGCCCCATGGAAAGATTCCCCTCGTCCAGTACGTGAGTGTTTTTCAAGTTTTTATTATTTCCAGCCTTGAAAGGGGGCTTAATGGCTGGCTGAGGAAAGGTGTGCAGTGTCCGCAGCTCCTTAACCTCAAGGATCCCAAGATGAGTGTGTTTGTTTCGTTTGTATTTTACTGGCAAATGCTGTAGAACTACAGCGACCTCAAGACCTTCTGATACCATTTTCATCGCAGACATAGTTTGGGAGCATGGGGGCTTCAGTGGTCCCTGGGCTTTTGCTTGTTTGTTTACCCCTTGAACGTTGGGGCTCTTGTTGGCATCAGACATTTGGGTGGTCTTGGCTGGCAGTGCCAGTCCTGATTGTGCCATGCTCCTATAGCCACGTCACTCATTTTGCAGGGTGTCAGGCCTCTGTTCTCCCTCTGCCCCTCCAACAGTCAGAGGACCTGGGGGGAATGCCTCAGGGAAAGAGGACGTTTCTGCATGTGTTATTTGGAAGTGGAAACCGCTTTTTCTCAAGCCCAGTTCTCCCCTTGCCCAGAGTGGGAATTAGCCACTTCAGACATGAGAAATGGCATAAATCTGGCACGTCTGTATGCCAGTTAGGCAATTCTCAGAGCTTGTAATGCCGCAGGAAAATGCGTTTTGCTGCGCAAGTTGTCTGTGGTCTGCACCACAGAAACCTTGCCTATGTTGCTAGTCCTCTCCACCTACCCCCCACAAGCTTCACCATGTGCCCCCACCCGGTACACTCTCCTACCCAAAGGAAACCACTCTCCTGCTTTACAACATCATAGATTAATTTTGCTGAAGGTTTTTAAAAAGCTTTTAATTATAATTTTTTTCAAAGATATAGAAAAGTAGGGGGAACAATAAAGTGAAACCCCATGTACCCATCGCCAGCCTCATTAATTACAAATTCATGACCACAGTTAATTTCTCTGTCCCCCACCCACTCTCTATTTCAGCTTAAATTATTCTAAAGCAAATCTCAGACATCATAATCATTTCCTATGCAATTATTTTAGTATACATTTCTAGTCATAAGGACTCCAAACACATAATAAAATAACACTATGACACCAAAACTTTTAGAATAATTTTGTCATAGTGAAGAAACTATCCGGTCAGTGTTCAAATCTCCCTTATTGTGTCATAAATGTTTTTTGTTTTGTGTTTTAGTTTGCCTTTTGAAATCAGGATCCAAATAAGATCCATATATTAGCAGATTTTTATTAGCATTTTTATTTTTCAAAACAATTTTTTATTGAATTAGAACGTATGTGCAGAAAAGTACTCAAATCATTAGTGTGTAGCTGATGAGTTGTCAGAAAATGACCACACTGGTATCAATACACCCACATCAGGGACTAGAACATGACCAGAACCTCAGAAGCCCCCTGAAGCCCACTTCCTCACTGCTTCCCAGCAAAAGTACCAGGACCCTAACTGCTAACACCATCCGTGAGTTTCATACATTGCCAGATGGCTTTTTAATTTTTTGTTTTATTTAATTTAATTCTTATTTTTTGGCTGTGGTGCATGGTTGTGGCATTCAGGCTGGACTCCAGTCGGCCATCTCTCCTGGATGACAGTCTCTGAGTAAAGGACTCCTGCCTTTTCTCAGTGCTCAGAGCTTCCCCTCATCCCTGGCCCCCAACTCCAAAGCAGTGAATAGCACAAAAGCAGAGAAATGCAGAATATTCCCACGGTGTCCAAGCCCTCTATGGGAGAGGCTATTCTGGCTTTCCGGAGCATTTCTCAGCAATCCTGGCCCTCTGCCTGCCCATTTGCTCCCCAGTGGTGCTGGTCAGGCAGACTGGAGACCAGGGCTAGTAATGGCAGCTGGTTGGCCAAAGCTCATATACAAGCACCCTCTTCACCTTACACTGAGAAGTTCTTTTAAAATCTTGAGCTTGGTTTTGTTATTGGGATATTTTTAAAATAAAGAATTACCATAAAGGAAGGATAGTATGGAAAGTGTCCAAAAAGCAGCACGATTTAGAAGAAGTTAACAAATATAATCTGTTACTAGCTCAAAATTTGCTGTTACCGGTCATTCTTTATGCCTTGGGATGCAGACTTATTTTGGTTTGCTTCTGTCCCAAAAGGCCTCAGCTGGGGCCCCTACAGAGTGGAGAACAGAGCTTCAGTTTTTTTGTTTGTTTGGTTTTTTGTTCTAGGAGCGAAGAACCTCATGTTGAATCAGAAAATGGACCTTCTGCCCATGGGGATGTCTATGGGCCCCAGCCCCAGGCTCCTGAAAAGAAGCTCCTCTCTGAGGAAACAATGCGCACCCTTACTGGTCCCCATCGCAGACTTGGGAAACTGCCAGCAGCCACTCACATTCTGAACAGCATCCTGAACAACTATGACCACAAACTGCGCCCTAGCATAGGAGGTGAGTAGCAGAACATAGTTCTTCCCCTTGGTCTAGACTTTTTTTTTCTTTTCTCACCCTCAGTTTTTCCAACTATAAAATAAGATGAGTAGACTAGATGACTGACCTTCAAGGTATGTCCAGCTCTTAACAGTCTGTGAATTGGATCTTGCCATGAAAGAACAAAGAAAGAAATAGCACTGGATGTTGAAACCATGTCTCTAGTCCTCACCCATCTCCTTGTTCTCCCCTCTGACCATGCCCTCCCCTGTCCCTGCCGCTATTTGACACTTACTTCGGCCACATCTGTCTCCTTTGCAGAAAAGCCCACTGTGGTCACTGTTGAGCTCTCTGTCAACACTCTTGGTCCTATCTCTATTCTGGACATGGTGAGTACTGATTTTTGATCACAGTGTCTTGTAGCCCAGAGAGCTGACCCATGGGCCCTTTCACATACTTGTTTTTTCTGCTCTGTGTCTAAGAGTTTTGTGGTTTTGGTTTTGGTTTTGTTTTGGAGAGGGGATATTATAACCAACACTGACTCTAGAAGGTGGGAAAAGGTAAGTCCCTTGTTGCCTGAAGGGGACTTTCAGAGTCCTGACCATATCTTCTGGTCTTTCATTCAAAATAAAAATAATAAAGCAACTTTAAACACCACAATGGAACTGCTCTTTTTTTCTGATAGTGATTTTTATAGATTTAAGTCTCTAGTTACTAACTCTTGTTGTAAGACTGCTGCTCTCATTTCTCTTTCCTTTTCCATTACTATCATTCTAGTGTCAGGACTGTCCTCAGCCTCTCTTATCTCTCCTTGGAATATGCAAAATTCAAGGTTTCTGCCTACCCCAGTCTACCTACTGACCCAGTGGCCTCCCATGTGATGTGCCTCCTGTAGGTCTGACCTGGCTTAAAGCGTGAAGTTCAACACCACACTTTAGTGGTCAAGGCCCTCCATGGCTGGAGCTAACCCAGAGCTCTGGTTTTATTTTTTTTCCCACCCCTTTAGAGACCACATGCTCTAGTCACAGTAGAGTATGGGTATTACCAAATCACCTTGTACCTTTGAGTCTTTGTTCAAGCTATTTCCTGTTTGGAATGCCATTGCTCCAATTTTATACTTGCCATAGTCTTATCCTTCAGGGTCTATCTCTAATAGCATCTTCTCTGACCTCCACAACTATTAATTGTTCCCTTTGTACTCACACCACACTCCTCTCTTTGGGATTCAGATTTTTCTAGCTTATATCATAGTTGTTTACCTGATCTTCCCTACCTCATTGTATTGTAATTATGTGCTCTTTATCTGCCTTGTTCTCCTGATTATGGTTTCCTTGGTGTCAAGAACTCAGTATATGTTAACTGAGCAAATGAATTATGAAAGATGTACTATAGAAGTCACTTTTTTTCCCTGATACCTAACAAGCCCAAGGGATACAGTCTAATAACTTAGCAGCCACTGGCACAGAACTCATGCAAAGAGGAGCCAACAACTTGATTTTCTTTGGCCAATAAAGTGCGGCTTTAACCTAGGCCAAGTGCCTTTAGAAGATGCCAAATACTCATGTGGTATTAAATTTCCCCCAAGAAGTCTGGTCTTTTACATATTTCCAAATAGTTCTTTAAAACTGTGGGAGTTCTCAGTTCTTGTACAGTCTACTTTTCCTTGGTAACACTGTGGAGTTTTGTATTTGGTAAGGAGGGAGTGTGTATCTCTCTCACACAACCAATGAACAGGGCATACTTGTCTCCTTGGACCCTCATGACAGCCTATGGCAGGTACGGCTGCCACTGGGATCTTCATTTTACGTTTGAAGCAACTGAGCCTCTTAGCAAGCATTCTGTTACAGAAGGAGTGTGGTTGTTTGAAGAGAGTTCCTACACCCCTCAGCTAATCAGATGCTGCGTAGAGCATAGGATTAGTTCTTAGGGAGAGAAACCCGAGCCCATAGCATGGAGATTTAAATCAAATGTTTCTACCAGTTTCCTGGTTAAATTTTTGAAATATCTAGCCTGAGCTTAGAAGGCAGTGACCAGTCTGGGAATGATTGCCCATCATAGCATCAACAGTTGCTAAGGCTTTTTGCTGTGATAATTGTTGCAAGCAATCCTAATTAAGCCAATTCCTTGACACTGAATTTTTAGAGTTTCAGCTGAGCTAAAAAAGATGTACAACCCAAGCTCCCTTGCCAAACTGGGGAAAAATTGAACTGTTAGTTATCAGTTGCTGTGTAATGAATTTACAATTGGTATCTTGTTAAATAGAAATTAAATGCTCATTTGAAACACTAACATAGAGCAAGAGCACAGCATGCATGGATTGTGGAGGGAAGACTTCCCCTAGCTATAGTTCACATGGCCTAGGAATGAAGGAGGCTCCATAGGCCAAGTTGGAACTGCCAGCTACTTGGGACTGTAGAAACACTCTGAAGGCCACCTGTGAAGGCTGGTGGGGCTGGGTGGAGCAGGGCTGGGGGCTTCCATTTGAATGGTAGTTAGGCTTTTTTCTGTCTGCTTCTCTGGACTACTCCAGGGAACCTTCTCAGTCTGGGAGGCTAGCTCCCAGCAATTTGGCAATGGCTCTCAACACCTCTTGGCCTAGGCAGCAAAGCCAAGCTTTCCCTTGAGGGCTCTACTGGCCTCTAAGCTGTAGGTTTCTGGTTGGTGTTCATTGTTTGATGCAAGATAACTCAGGAGAAAGACCTAGGGATTCTACAGGGGAAAATTGGACCTTGGTACCCAAACGGATTGTTGGTGCAAGTGAAATAAGCACTAGAGAGGGAAATCAGTGAAGGCCATCCCAGGGCAAGGTCATGGTAATGGTGCTCTGAGCATCAGAGTCAATATGCTGCCATTAGCTATTTGTGTGACTTTGGACAGGCCCTTTTCTCTCTGAGCCTCAGTTTCCCTACCTTTAAAGTAAAGGAAGTTGGGCTAGCCCTCAAGGTTCCCCCTTGGCCTAGTTCTGGCACTTGTTCTTCACACTACTTGCAATTCTATTGCAGTCTGTTTTTTACCCTTCAAAACCAGTAGAGCAAACCTCTAGCTTCTCATGCTTCTTCCTATTAAACATCCTTCTCAATGTTTAACAGACAGTTTATGGGATAGATAATATCATCTGGAGACCAAATAATCACAGGTATAGCTATGCTTATGCACACACACATTCAGAGGTCAGGTGCCCTTGTTTAAAATGAAAAACAAAACAATTATTCAAAAAACATGAGACTAAATACACACTTCTCAAAGCACTTCATTTTAAAATATAAGTCTGAAGAATGAAGGATTGAGGTTAATTAACATTTGTGCTCCCCAAATAAAACCTGAAAGGGGAAACTTCACCATATACAACCAAAGGTGTGTGTGTATTTGTAATGTTTAAGATGATTTTGAGTTGAAATCTTTGGTTTGCTATGGAAATGTGGAGGCTGAGAGGGTGTTAACCTGGCTCGAGTAATCTCATAACCCTACAAGGTAGTGGTGATGTGATGAGCCCAGCCTGCGCAATTAAGCCACAATTGCCTGTCTGTTTCTAGATGAAATATGTCTTCCCTGATTGTTGTTTATCTGGGAATGTTCCCTTCTTTTGGGAATACCTGGAAATAGAAAACTCCTACAGCCTAATTCATGTTGTTTTCCTCTGTGCAAACCTAAGTCGGTTCCTATCTGCTCAATAGGCCCTTCACAGGATGGCATGAAAATACTCTTTGCCTGTACAGCTCTAGGTGTGTGCTTTTCTATCAATCCCACCAGGAATACACCATTGACATCACCTTCTGCCAGACCTGGTATGATGAACGCCTCCATTACAATGGCAGCTTTGAGAGTTTTGTCCTTAATGGCAACATGGTGAGCCAACTATGGATCCCAGACACCTTTTTTAGGAATTCTAAGAGGACTCAAGAGCATGTGATCACCATGCCCAACCAGATGGTTCGCATCCACAAGGATGGCAAAGTGTTGTACACAATTAGGTATGTCAAGCCTCTGGAATATTACCTCTTGGGACTCTTTTTACCAAAGAATCATGGATATAGGTTTCATCCTGAATGATACTTCAAAGGGCCTCTCCAGCTTTGCTAGACCTTGAGCTCAACCGCTTCATGTATAGATACAGACACTAGCCCTCAAAATAGAAAGATTACCTAAGGCCACACACCAAGTTCATGGCAGAGCTGGGACTGGTACCCAGTTATTTGGCTCCCAGTCCACAGGTCCCCCCCGCCACTAGAGTATGACTGCATTGCCTGGACAATTCCATCCCAAGTGGGCACTGGATGTAAAGACACGTGCACGGTTGTGGAATTGTCCAGGCGGAGCAGCAACACAGCAGTTGGAAAGATACCTAAGAGCAGGCTGGACATTTGAATGTCTGGCAGGGGAAGGTTGTGTTATCAGTGGTATGAGGTGGGAAGGTGGTAGAGAGTGGGAGAATGTTAGCAAGTCCTGGAAGCTGGGATGGGTAAGAAACTAAAGCTCATCTAAATTGGTCCACACATTCCTCTGATGATGGAAACCAAAGTAACCAAATACTTTCAAGCTGTTCTTCCTCTCTTTTTGTCTCTCCTTTGAGCTCTTTGTTTCAAATCCTACTGTTGCCACTCATTGGTGGTGGTCCCCTGGCCCAAGGTGGGTGGATACCTAAGTGCTCAGGGCCAGCCTAATAAGGCTCCTTTCTCCCTTCCAGGATGACCATTGATGCTGGATGTTTACTCCACATGCTCAAATTTCCAATGGATTCTCACTCTTGCCCTCTGTCTTTCTCTAGCTGTGAGTACCTTCTTAGGTCTCTGGGGCCCCAGGGTCATGCTGAGCCCCTTCTTTTTTCTCATCCTTGCCCTTTACATTTTTCTGCCTCTGCTTTTCTCCTAAGATGGTGCCAGATTTGCCCAGAGCCTCCTCATCCCTTTCCTGCTGACAATACTGTGTTGCTTCACCTGGACCTTGTGTTGGGTTCTTCCCTCTTCCTTCCACTCCATCTCAAGTCAGTCACCCACCTCTGAAGTGTAATTCAAGTATGTCTGCTCCTCTCCATCTCCACTGTCAGTACCTTGGCTTAGGTCTTTGCCATCTTCCACTTGGGCTTTCACAACATCTTCACTTTAAAACCAAACATGTCCAGAACTAAATACATTGTCTCCTCCCAACCTCTACCCCCAAAACAAATGTGTTGCTTCTGTGTTCACATTTGTCTCATTGAAAGGCACCATCAGCCACTCAGTTGTCCAAGCCAAGAACTTTGATGCTTCTTTCTCCATCACCTCCTACATCTAATCAATCAACACATCTTGTTGGTTTTCCCTCCTGAGTCTCTATTGATCCTATTTCTCTGCATTCTCACTGCCGCAGCTTGGATTCCTGCCTTCATTCATTTTATTGTGCCCAGATTCCTGCATTGACCTCCCAAAACTGGTCTCCCTGTCAACAAGCCATCTTATATAATGACAAGGGTGACCTAGCTGAATCATCATCTAGACCAGTCATGTTTTAGCTTCAAATCCTCCCTGAACTGTGATGGATCAATTCCAAATTCCTTAGAATGACCCTCAAGGTACTTCATTGACTGGTCCCTTTTACCCATTCCTGTATGCTTCATCCAGCCTCTGTGAGCTAGCCATCCTGAACTTTTGGCATTTCCATAATCCATCAGGCATTTTCACCTTTCTACGCATAGAACGCACTCCTCACCCTTTCAGCCTCACCCATACAGAGAATATTTTACTTAGCTTTTAAGATTTATTGGAAATGTTACCTACTCTATAAAATCTTTGTTGGGTGTGTCCCCAAGTCGTCTTTCCCTCCTCTGTTTTTGCACTGTCCCATGGGTGGAGGTTTCTCAGCAATTTCAACAATTACAGAAGTATACTTACTATCTTACTCAATAAAATGTGAATGTTTGAGGGCAAGGCTCCTGTCTTGCTCATCTTTATATTTCCAGCACAGAGCCTGGTACTAAGGAATGCTCAGTAAATGCACGTACTGAATGGACTTCAACAATGAGGTAAGAGGGGCAAGGTCCCACAGCTGGTGAGGCCAGAGTCAGGACTCCAAGGCATTGCTCAGACTCCATGTTGGTGGAGACAGCTAAGCTTCCCAGTCTCACAGGACCCTCCTTCCCATGTTGCTTTACAGTTTCCTATCCTGAGAGTGAGATGATCTACAAATGGGAAGATTTCAAGCTTGAAATCAATGAGAAGAATTCCTGGAAGCTCTTTCAGTTTGATTTTACAGGAGTGACCAACACTACTGAAACTATCTCAACCCCAGCTGGTACGTGTGCCTTTGAAACCAAGGCTAAGCAGAGGCCCAGGGGGTGGTAGGGATGACTGGATGTGGCCATCCATACATATAAATGTATGTAATCATCCCATGGAAATATTGTAGAACGTGACTCCTGTCTTGTAAATGCTAAGCACTTACAACTGTTTGCAGAGGAAACTGAGACTTTGTAACTACATCTCAGTCTCATCTGCAAAGAAGTAAGTGCTTTGCCAAATCCCTGAGAGGGTAGGTAAGTAGTTAAAGTTTTATTGCTGTCAGGATTTGCAACTAGCTTTGTCATGTAGACCCTTCAGTTTCTAGGTCTTTGTTACAACCGACTTGTTTGGATGACTTTGGGGAATGGAGCTCATGTGAGTTCTCCATACCCAGAACCACTTCAAGCTGGCTGAGTGGGAAACAAAGTTGGTCCTAATGGGAAGTGGAAGCTAGAGTTCTAAGGTCAGCTAGGTGAGGGCTGGGATAGTATGGGGGAAGTTTCAGCAGTTACAATTGCTACTGCATCAATGTTTATTTTAAAGAAGCAGCTCTAACAAGCACAGATTCCTGTCAAAGCCTTCATGGTGGATTCAACATGGCCATGGTGATCACTGGTTTTCTGACTTTGTCCCTAACAAGGACTAAAGGGGAGGATCCTGGATCTTTTCAATGTCAGCTTCCAATCAGATATGAGTGTCTTTGCTTGTGTTCCTAGGTGATCTCAATGAGAAGCTAAGGTCCCAGAGCAGCCCTGGAAACCCTCTTCACATGTACTGACCAAGTCAGGGCAGTGGAGGCACTGCCCTCATCGTTTCCAGAATGCAGATGGAGCCAGTCACCCAACCAGCCATTTGCCATAGAAGGAGTCTTGCTTTGCTTCTGTGTGGCTAGGCAGAACATCTGCTTTGCTGCACTTACAGAGTTGGTCACTGGGTGAGGAATAGCTCATGCTCATCTGGCTAGAGTTTTGCTTGCACAGTACTAGGCAGGGGCAGAGGGCTATTTTACAAATGCTTTTCTTTTTCTCAGGGTCTCTGGGTAAGCAGTTGTACTACCTTTGACTTGGGATCCTTGCTCTTCTGCCAGCTAACCATGGGCCTGCCTCTTGCCTTTCTGCACCTCAGTTTTCCCAGACAGGTGGGGACCCATCATCAAAAGCGGCAGAAGAGACAAGGCCCAGGGGCTTTCAAGTCACTAGTGGTTCCGTTTAGTAGATGGTTGTGCATTGTTTCAAAATGGTGCCCTAGTGACTACAAAGCCCCAGAGCCAGCATCATCACCAAAGCAATGACAATAGGTAAGCACCAGCCCTCCTTGGGAGAGAGGAGGGTTCTTGGGGGAAAAGGAGGAGGGCTTCTTTCTCTTCTGCTAGAGGCTAGATGTTCTTGAATTATGCTTTCTCCAGTATCATAGCTCTCTTTGAGGCTGGTCCCAAACTCTTCCCATCAGCCTCTGGGCAGTTCTTTCTATCTGAAGCAGATTTATGTACCAGCTCCTAAGGGTTCAGAATGCGGTGGTAGCTTGCTACTTTGGTCACCTTGGGCCTTGAACCAGAGAATCTCTACTTCAAAAGGCCTTCAGAGAGTGCAGCCTTGCCCCCAGTGAGTGAGTTAACTTTCACTGGTGGCTACTGAGACTCTGATGGAATCTTACCCATGATTAGGACTTCACTTTCTCCCAAAGGAGATTCTTCCTTCTCTGGACAACTCTGTCCCTCAGAAAACTCCCTGTTCATCTGAAATTGGAGTTTCTGGAACTCCTAACCTTTAGACCTAGTTATTTTTCCCTAGAACTACTGAACTTACGGTAAGCCCGGTCACTCTTCCATGGGGTCAACATTAAAGGACCAGTATTATGGTCCCAGTCCAGGGTCACAATCTTTTATAGACTCTAAAGTCTAGTTTCTTTTCCTTCTTGTTCTTCACAGCTTTGGGTCCACTCATTCTTCTAATCCCAGTCCTCTGGACACAGTCTATTAAATTATGTTCCTCTAACAGCACAGGGACCAACTCTGGTCTGGCCAAATGAGAGATGAGCAGAAGCATCTTTAATTTTTTTTTGGGGGGGGGGTTGTTTTGCTTGGCTTTGACTTTGGCTCCTCAGCCCCAGATACATTTTTTTTCCCTTACCCATGCTCCTTTATTCCTCAGGAATAAGAAATTATGTGTTAGTATCCTTCCCTCAGCTTTCAGAAACAAATTTCCATATCTTGACAAGTGGAGAAGGTTGTTTTTTGGCTGGAATAAATAAGATAAACATACGAAAAGCTGATAGGATAATAAATCTTGCAACAAGAATATATATTTTGCAGGGAGTGGTTGTAGCTAAATAGGGATGTCTTAAATTGCAGTCAAGACCCCAGGGCAAGAGAACTAAGAACTTGGTAAATACATTCTGGCCAGTAGGCAAGTGTGAATGGTTCCTGCAGCAGCCCTGGGGGAGGAGTTCTATCCCCACAGTTACTACTCTGAATACAGATATTCCACTGACCCCAGGCCACATCCTTACCTTTTTCCAGAGAACTCTTGCCCTTTAAGTGTCAGTGTTACCAAGGTGAGTAAGAAAGGCTGCTCTTCTTGTTTAGCTCCAACATACCTAAACCTGCTATGCAGGTGATCTACTTTCCAAAATAAGAGGACATGTGGACATGTTAGTGTTCTGGTCTGCTTTACCAAGCTATTGCTAGACAGTAGCAAGAGTCACTGAGCATCTGCTAAGTTCCAGCCCATGCTGGGCTTGGATAGGCAAGAGGCAAGCCACGGGGCTTACATGAGAGATTTAAACCCTGAAGGGGTTAAAAAGCCCACCTAACTCAAAGCCAAGGAATTTTATAGCACCATTTAGGTAGAAGTTTGGAATTTAGCTTCACTAAGGAGCCAAAATTTGCGCTATCACAAACCCTATGTGATGTTGAAAATAAAATGGGAGTTTCTGGGCTCAGGAAAGCCCCCAGAATCTCTGGGGTCATGATGAGAACGCAGAGTGTTTGGGATGAGTGTGTCAGAATATAAGGCAACATGAAAGGTATAGTAGAAGATGCCACCTAGAGATGTAGGTTTTCATTAGGTACTATAAGAGCTATCATTATATAGGGGAAGAAACAACATCAAGGACATGATGCCCCAATTTTCACTTTCAGCTAATTCTTCTATTTTCTTGAAACATTCAGTTTGGATTAGGGTAATAAACTAAGAACAGGGAGTCTAGGTTTTGGATATTGGTGAAAATATGCAAGCCATCTCAGGGAATCTGAGAGTGTATGGGATTAGCTTACAGGAAGGTGTGTGTGTTTGCATGTGTGTGTGTAAGATGTCAGTTGGAGCCAGGTCATGGTGGGCCTTTAGTGTCAGGTTAGAGTATGCATTTGATTCTATAGCTGTTGTGGAATAGGGAACCACCAGAGGTTTGGGATGGGCAAGTGATTTCTTTTGGCTTTTGATACAACAGTGCTAACTAAAGCATTTTACCAGCATATGAATGAATAGGAAGGAGGCCAAATGGATTCTGTGCTTCCCCCACCACAGCACAGGCCGCTCTCGATTTATTCCCTGAGCGTATACATTGTAAAGGCCAGTAGTGCATGTGTCAGGCTATGATTCTACAGACTATGTATGGCACCTTAATGGATGTGAAGGTCTCAGTCTTCCATCTGGACACTAGCTGTGTGGTCCTGATACCTAGAAGGCTAACTGATTTTTTCACTTTCATCTTACACTTCTGCCACCCTCAGAAGACAGACACCAGCTGTGGGGCAGTGGGCTGAGAAAGAAGCAATGAGGTTTCTGGCCTTGGCTTAGCTCTTAACTGACCATGGGTCTTGCAATGAGTCTCCTCTCTGGGTTTCTTCTGATTTTCTGTATATGGTCCTGGAATAATGTGCCTCTATCTTAGGACTGTGGTGTGGATCCCATGAGCTGAACAAGACCCTTAATGTGCATGTCCTATCTGGGGGAGACCCTCATGTCGGTGCTGTAATGAAGTGGTATTTTTTATGTCTTCCAGGTGATTTCATGGTCATGACGCTTTTCTTCAATGTGAGCAGACGGTTTGGCTTTGTAGCCTTTCAAAACTATGTCCCTTCTTCTGTGACCACAGTGCTCTCCTGGGTTTCCTTTTGGATCAAGAAAGACTCTGCTCCAGCCAGGACCTCTTTAGGTAAGTGGGTAATACATACAAATGGGCACAGAATTGCCTTCTCAAGGGTCCTTTCAGCAGTGTAATATATGGATTGGTAGCTGAGCCCACCTCCACTACTGTGCTTTCACAGGAATAACCTCTGTACTCACCATGACCACACTGGGCACATTTTCCCGTAAGAATTTCCCACGTGTCTCCTATATCACAGCCTTGGATTTCTATATTGCCATCTGCTTCGTCTTTTGCTTCTGTGCTCTGATGGAGTTTGCTGTGCTCAACTTTCTGACCTACAATCGGATGAAACCCCGTGCTTCTCTAAAACTTCGCCATGTATGACCTGGGTATGGGAGTGGTGGCAAGCTTTTGGAGTGTGGAGGCATGCAAGTGAGGGCACTAGGACTCATGGCACACGGATGGCCAGTTCACCAAGTGATGGGGGTGGGGAACCTGAAGTTGGTGGGAGAGTTGAATAAACTTTTTGATGTCATGCTGGGAATGGGGGGGGGGAGTCAAAAAGCAGTGTGCCAAGGATAGAACCTCCAGAAACCTTGGGACAACACCTAGACTTGATTCATCTTTGACTTTTCCCACTTCTTTCCTTGTCCGTTTCAGCCACATATTCGTGCCCGTGCCCTTACCCCTCCCCGTGCCCGTGCCCACGAGCATCCAGAAGCTTTTGTGTGCCAGATCGAAGACTCTGAAGAGAGTGATGGAGAGGAGGGTCCATCTTGTCCAGCTCAGCAGTCTCTCAGCCGAGATACCATCCAGAGCCCTGGTGGTTGTTGCAAGTGGTGCAAGAAGTACTTCTGCGTGGTTCCCAGTTGTGAGGGCAGTATCTGGCAGCAGGGCTGCCTCTTCATCCACATCTACCGCCTGGATAACTACTCACGAGTTGTTTTCCCAGTGACCTTCTTCTTCTTCAATGTGCTTTACTGGCTTGTTTGCCTTAACTTGTAGGTGCCAGCTGGTACCCTGTGGGCAGCTTCCCCAGTTCCCCAGGAGGTCCCACAGCCCTTGTCAAGGGAGTCAGAGGAAAGCAGCAGCAGCAGGAGGAGCAACAAGGGAGTGTCTTTCCTTCCCCATTCCCCAAATACAAGCCTGAATAGAATTGTTCTTTGCTGGCCCTCTCCCCTACCTGGCCCATTCACTGACTCTCCATTGCAGTCCATTTCAAGTAAAATGGTCCACCTCTCTATTACTCAAGGGGCATTAATGATGTTCAGGCTTAAATATCACAGGCTGTCAGTGACTAGCTCCCTAAGACCGTGCCCATGTATGAGTAGGTTAGCTATCTCCCAGTGCTGATACCCACTGCCTTTTTCCAGAAACAATACTGCCTTTGTGGTGCTCCAGGCCCAGCTCTGGCCTCAGCCTCAAAGTGCATAGACCAGCTGCTTGCCTGTTCCTGACATCTCCTTGCCTGTTCCTGACATCTCCTTAAAATGTTGGGCAGCAGTATAAAGGGGAAGGGGACCCTAGTCCTTAGATCAGATTATTATATTCTTGGTTTTGTCTTCCTGCCCTCCCTTCCCCTGCAGATGGACACTGGTATTATACTTTTAGGAGGAAGGGAGCCAGCAATTGAGCCTCTTTGGGATAGTATCTCCCTCTGCTGCTGTGCCACCTCCTTCTCTCCCGACCCTCACGTCCATCCCTCATCTCACTACAAATTCAATGCCTTGCATCCATTGGGTATCTCTTTTTGTGTGTGGTAATAGTAATGACTCCCTGCTTTGTATGCCACCTTCTTCCTCCTCCTTGACCCCTGTGACGTTTTCTGTAATTTCCCCAGTGGCTTTCCCAGCCCCGACCCAGGTGCTAGGCCATGGTGACTTCTTGGGGCCAAGAAACTAAGAGAACTTTGCTTTGCAGTGGACATTACTGGCACAGATTGGTGCCCTCTAAAGGCACAACATAAGAGTTTTGCTACTTCCTTGGCCCCTGGACCCATGAGCCAGTCCACTCTTATCCTGGGGCACTCACAATCACAATCAATGAATTGAATTCCCTTAAATTTGTATAGCACTTTACCTTTTGCAAAGCACTTTTGACAAATTATTTCTATTTTGAGCCTCATCATAGCCCTGTGATATATTCAGGGCAGGATTCTTATCCCCATTTTGCAGATGAGAACCCTGAGGCACAGATTTCTATGGGACTGTGGATCTCACTGGAAACTACTCAGGAGCCCACTGTCACCTTCTAGACCACATGACAGGGCTAGCAGCTCTGTTCACCATGATTTGATTCTATAGCCTCTGCTGGCACCCCAGTGGCAAGGCCCAGAGTGGCAGCCTCTCTTCAGCATTGGCCTCCTCAATTCCTGGGCCCCCAAGACCGAAACTGTCCTGGCTCTGGTAACCCAGTGAGGTGAATTTGGACATGCCCCAATGCTTGTATATGCTGAATGAAATCTGTGTCTGTATTTTACTGGGGCGGGGGTGGGTAGGGTAGGGAGATATAGCTGCTTTTTGTCACCATCACCTGAAAAGGGGAAATGTATCAATAAATATATCAGCAAAGCATGAAGTTGTGGCTGGTTTCTTAGGCATTCAAGTTTGTTCTCAGTTCAGGATTTAAATCTTAAATCAATGACCCAATTATGTCTGCTCCGCTCTCCCATCCATGATTCCCAGACCTACCAAGCATGTACCATGTACCCTCTGTCAGTGGAAAACTGAAGGGAAGAGAGTGACCAAATGGTGGCCCCCTTTTACTGATTCCCTTACTTGCTCTTATGCCCCTGCTTCCCGCCATGTCCTTTTTGCTTTGTCCATCATTCTAACCTCACCTAGTCAGAAAGCTAGAAGTTTCCTGGAGATTATCAGACTCGGAACACTCCTCCCCCACTGCCATCATGTAAAGATGGAGATGCTGAGGCCCAGAGAGGAATACCTACTGTCACACAAGCAGATAGTGAAGTGGAACCAGACCCCAGGAATCCTAATAACTTGTTTTGGCTGTGAGTAAGTCTGGAGAGCTTGGTCAATCCACCTTTCAAATGAAAACTCTATAAAGGTATATTGGAGAGTATTGGCCCTGGCAACCTGTGACACATCCAACTCTACGGGAACTCAAAAACAATGACAAGAACCAAGGAGGAGACAAAAATGACATGTGAACAGCCAATGTTTTTGCTGTAAAGTTCTTGAAATGATGCTCAAACACTTTCCCTGTAAGAAATCCACATGCTTTTACTATGAATTTTCTGATGCCATAATCCATGGCAAAGTACAAGTAATAATTTAGAACAATATTTAGAAAATAGTTCCTCACTTTCACTTAACTAGAAAGATTCAGGAAAAAAAGTAGTCAGGTGGGGGAGGAGTGTTCCGAGTCTGATAATCTCCAGGAAATAGAAATAGTGCAAAACAGATTCCTTAATCACACTACAATAGAGCTAAGAAATAATAAAATTCCTACCATTTATAAATTTTAAAAAGCTCATACAAATATTTCTTCAAAAAATAATATGAAATTGGGTGCATAATATCTAAAAAATAAAATTAATGAAAAAATTTTACATAGTAAAACACGTGGGATGTAGCCAACACTGCACTCAGAAAAATTCATAATTTAAGCATTTCCAGTACTAAACACAATGTATGAAAAATGAGTTAAGTATTGAAACTTAGAAATTGCAAAAAGGATAAAAACACACCTTAGAAAAGATTTGGGAAAAAAGGAATTTTTAAAATAAACAGTGTAAGGAGAATCATTTAAAAAACAATAAATAAAACTGAGTCTCTAACTCTTTATGTCAAAATTACAGATAAATAAAAAATTTATAAACATTTTAGGGAAACCATAAGACAATATGTGTGAGTATGTTTATAATCTTGGGATGGAAAAGGCCTTTCTATACATAACATGAAACACCAGAAACTATAAAGGAAAATGTTGAAAAATCGTCTCATACTAAGAAATAGCAATTACTAAAACAAAAGCAAAAAACACACTGTTACTTGTTAGTTCTTCTGAGAAGCAGACTCCAAGACTGAGATTAACATGCAGGAGGTTGATTAGGGAGGTTTTTGTTTTTTTTTTAATTTGTTTATTTTTTTTTATTTTTTTAAATTAACATATAATGTATTATTTGTTTCAGGGGTATAGGTCTGTGATTCGTCGGTTATTTTTTTTCTTTTCTCTTTTTTTTATTATGTTCAGTTAGCCAACATACAGTACATCATAAGTTTTTGTTGTAGTGTTCAACAATTCATTAGTTGTGTATAACACCTAGTGCTCATCACATCACATGCCCTCCTTAATACCCATCACCCAGTCACCCGATCCCCCCTCCTTTTGTAACCCTCAGTTTTTTTCCTGGAGTCCAGAGTCCCTCATGGTTTGTCTCCCTCTCTGATTTCTTCCCATTCCGTTTTCCCTCCTTTCCCCAGTGGTCCTCTGCTCTATCAGTCTTATATAATACATAATGCTCATTACAACGCATACCCTCCCCAATGTCCATCACCCAGTTACCCCATCCCCTCACCCCCCTCCCTTCCAGCAACCCTCAGTTTGTTTCCTAAGATTAAGAGTCTCTTATGGTTTGTCTTAGGGAGTGGCTTTAAGGTCAATGCCCATTGGGGGGAGTGAAGTGAACAAGGCTGGGCAGAGAAGAGATTGGTCTGCAATAATAAGGGCTTCTGTTGAACACACAGGAAGCTCTGGAGTTGGGACGGGCCTTCCAAATTGTTACAAATCAGGGCAATGATATTGAGCCTTAATACTTTTTCACTTGTTGGATGTAAGCATAAACTTGGAAGGACATGAACTCAAGTATGTCTGGAGAAGGATTCACTTGAAGCCTGTCAGCCTCCAACAATCTCAGTAGCTGGAGAAACAAGAGCTTCTGTGCCAAGGGAGCAGGGATGTAGGAAGTGTTGGCAGCACCTACTACATAGTTCATTCCTCTCCTTGGTCAGGCTCATTTGCTTCATATAGATAAATTCTGCAGCAGTTATCCCATGGTTATACTGAGCTGCTTTTCCTGAGGAAAACATAGTATCAGTGAAAGACACTATAGCACCTGCCACTGAAGCTGGTATTAGGTCCCTAAAACTGTCCTGCACTACCCATTCTAGATTTACTTTTACTCTCAGCTAGTATCTCTGCTGATCTCAGTATCTTATCTGGTGCAGTGACTAAAAACTTCATCCTTGAAGTCTGAGACTCTGGACACTGTGCCTTTCTCAGGCCAGGGCTGGAAGACTTGTCATTTCCAGGGGATACCTAAGTGGGTCACCTAGACACCAAATCTATTCTTGCCTGACCCCATTGTATAGCAATACCCCTCTCCTCCTAATGATTAGAGTCAATTTCCCCTATCATGATGCTGACTTGTTTTCTTTTGGATGGTGTCAAAAGTGACCAGGCAGCTTGTTTTCTTTTGGCTGGTGCTAAAAGTAACCAGGCAACAACCACAGATTAAAATTTAATGGGGCTCCTGTGTGTCTCCTAGTGAAGGCACTTGCAATCTTAGAGTCAAGAACTCCAAACTTGCAGAACACAGAATTATGAGTATGAGAAGCACAAATACCCCAAGTAGGTCACTGGGACTATTGACAAACAAAACAACTCCTACTCCCATTCCCAAACTTGTATATTCTTCTATATAACACTGACTTAAGATGTCACTGATTTAGGATATATAATGCTTTTTCATGGGTAAAGGCCCATCCTCTCATGGTATCATCTCCAAACTGGTGCTTCAGCTGTGCCTTCAACACACGATTTCATCACTCTGGCCAGCACCTTTTCAGTGGTGCAGTATATAATAGAATCCCAGACCATGTGCTCAGTATTGGACTCCTTTGGCCAGAAAGTGGATCTCTGGGTCCAATCCAGTGTTTTAGATAAAATCCTGTCTCAGTAGATCAACAGCCTATGCTCTTAAATAGTGGTGCTGGCTGAGGCCCTCCAGAACAGAAAGGCAAACTCATAATCAGAAATTGTGTTGATTACTGTCAAGATGAATCATTGTCCCACACAGTTTTGAAGAGGCTTAATGTAGTCAACTTGTCCCCAAGTCACTTTTTGGTTTCCTTCAAGAATGGTGATATATTGGAGACTCACTACTGGTCTCTGTTGTGGGCAAGGTCAATAGCTAAAACAGCCTTAGTGAGTAGGTGACCATGCTGTTGTGTCCACATATAACCTCAACCCTGCCACCGTGATAGGTTTGAAAAATGTAGTAAATAAAAATCCATGACATCCAGTTAAATTTGAATTTTAGATAAGCACCAAATACATTTCAGCATAAGTTGCTTCATTTGAAGTCATACTGTCCCTAGGCTGCTCCCAGCCAAAGATTGAGCACAGGGGGGTACTAGAGTATGGACATTTCTGCCAAATGTAGACAGACTCCTCCAACAAGCAATCTGTACCAGAGCTCCCCATAAACCTGGCTGAGACTTCATCAAACCTGCTTTGCAGTCTGAGGGTCTTCTTCCTATTCCTCCTTGATTCTCCCTCTTCTTTCAGGTGTCAGACCTCATTCCCATCCAAAGTTTTCTCCAGGCTATTCCTGCTCCTTCTTTCTTTAGCTTTCACAAACATTTCCCAAAATTAACCTCTTGTCCTTCTAATCCCATCTTGGCATCTGTTTCCCAGATGACCTAAACTGACACAGTTGAAACCATGAATAATATAAGAAAGCACACAGTAAGATGGGGTTCTGAGATGGGATCACTCACCATCTGGCTGACAAGGAACAACCCATCCTGAGTGGTATATGAAGCACAGATAGCATGTGGCACAATGTGACAGCCCAATCCCAGTTCACCGGTGGTTACCTGGGAAAATATGCTAGTGAAGGGAACACCGTTTGCTGATTCGGGCACCTTTAGGCTATAGCAGAAACAGTTTATACAAAGACAGTGGAGTTGGCCAGTTATTACTAAATTGTATTGATGACAAAGTGTGTATAACTGTGATTATATCCTCATTCTTTTCTTAAAGGATTCTCCAGCCATTTACTCAGATGACTGTAGACTTGGGAGAGAGGGGGATACCAAGACATCTCAAGGACAATTGGACATAGGTCTGAATTAATTTTGATACCAGAAGACCATCATTAGACTTTTCTGTTAGAGTTGAGGACTTATGGAGACCAAGTAATAAACTGAACCCTAGCTAGAGGTTCATATTGAGATGACCAGATGGCAAACTTTCCAGTCTTGTAAGTGCATAATTGAATTTGATATACCTGTAAGTTGGAGTAACCTCTACATTGAGTCCAAGATCTGTGTTATAAGAGCTATCATAGTGAGAAAGGCCAAGTGGAAAAGTCTAAAAATGCTTTTTCCCAGCCAAGAGAGTAAAGCAAAAACAATATCACAAACCAGATGACGGAAATTAGTGCCACCCTTATAGATCTCAAGCAAGTCCTCTTTATGTCTCCATTTAATTTGCCAGACTGGCCCCTGAAGAAACTGGATGGATCCTGAATAATGACTATAAATTATCACAGGTTTCAGC